ATATTTGGTATTTCTGGGGCTTGTAGAATGGATGAGTTAGTCCGAACGACTGTACACGATATAGAAGACTTAGAATCTAAGCTTTTAATCAGCATACCTGATTCGAAAACCAACAAACCAAGATTATTTCTAATTAATTAGATCTACTTGAATGTTTATCGAAAGTATGTTTCGTTAAGACCAGAAAATATGAACAGTGACCGATTTTTCTTTAAATATCAAAGCGGAAAGGGTTGTAGACAAGTGGTAGGAATTCATTAATTTAGAAAAATGCCCAAAATAATTGCTACTTATTTGAACTTGGTAAATCCGACAGAATATACTGGTCACTGCTTTCGTCGGTCTTCTGCAACAATATTGGTTGACTCTGGTGCCGACATAACTAGTTTAAAGAGGCATGGCGGATGGAAGTCATCAAACGTTGCTGAAGGATATATTGAAGAATCGCTTAACAATAAGGTTGAGGTGGCAAATAAAATTTTCACAGTACAAAATATTCAACAAAATGACACTTCCACCCTGCATGTTCTCCAAAATGTTTCTCATAGTTCTAAGAGTGTTCCTCCAATGTTCAGTAATTGTACTAACTGTCAAATTACTGTAAATATAGCAAATTGATCTTAAAAATGTATTCAGCAATGACTTGATGTTTTCAAAATATAAATTAATTCCTTATAAGCAATGTGTTTTCTATCATTTATGTAGAACACTAACAACTGTACGGAAATATCATTTCCTTACAGTAAGGATATAACATTTCCTTACAGTAAGGAAGTCCCGACTTTTTCTTCAAGAAATTTTGACAGAAATGTCAAAATTTCCTGGAGATTTGCGGAAAAAGACCTTTTACTCATACATTGTATTTTAACAAAGAGTGAGTGTGAGTGAGTCTTGTCCATAGAAAAAAGAGTGGCTTTCTTCAAAAGTGCAGATCGCAGGGTAATTATCGCCCGCAAGTAGCGTCCACTTGGCAAAATAAATTCTATAAAACCCCATTTTTTTAAGGAGAGCTGTTCCACTTGCCAAACCACACAGACCTGTGTTCGAGTTCTAATTTATAGTGTTTTGCTGCATCCATCCTACATGGTAAAGTACAATACACCATATTTATTTTGTTGTATGCATAGTCTATACATCAAGTACTTTTACTTGCTATTGAATTATTTCATATTGTGTTGCGATTTGAACCTTTTAATTGAACTTTGTTTTACTTTCGTTTAAAAATTATAAACTTTTTTCATAGTTTGAGCTTTATACCGTTGTGTATTATACAAGTATTCTATTTCTTTTTATCGTAGTGAGTCATTATTCAGACAAAATATTTAAGTCTTATGGTAACTTGATTCTGTAATAAAATTCATGGCAGACGACAAGCGGTTTCATAATCACTAAACATATATATTTCTTTATGGGTTCATATGTTTTACATTTATGGTATTATGTTCGGTCTTATTGTTTTATATACTTTGTCGCTTGTATAAGCTATCATTATCTTGCCGTTCTGTATTTTTCGTTTTCAAGCTTATTTTAATTATATAGACGTTAATCATTTAAAAGTAAATGAATATTTTTTTTGTCACTTGGTTTAAATATAGTTCTTATTGCTTATTTATTTTTATTCGTAATACCCAAGTCGAAAGGGAGAAACCAGCGAGACGAATTTTAGATTAAACATAAATTATACATGTCTCGTTTCTGATGATGGCCACCTATATTACATATATATGTATATGTACAGAAAGCAACACTTATTTCAGTTCGTACGATTTGCAGTAATTTTTTTATTGTTATTTCGGGAATTTCACGTTAATACTCTGTTTCTGTTGTTCCGCTTATTTATTTGAGATATGTTACTTCTTTTTCTTTTTCACAATAAGCAATTCTGCTTGTTCATTGGGGGATTAATACCTTTATGGAAGGTTGTCACTTCATCTTTTGCGCGGTCGTCCGATACTTCTTTTGCCGATTGGTGACTTATCTCTTGCTATTTTGACGACACGAGTCTCCTCCATTTTGCTTATGTAGTTATTCCATTTTTTACTTCTATTTTGTGTCCATATATTTATACACTGTACGGTAAATTTTCTTTTAATGTTTTCACTTCTCTTTCGATTTCTCAGCGTATTTCCTGTAATTCTTCTCAGTACTTTCATCTCTGCCGTTTCCATTATTCTTTGCGTTGTGGCTGTGTCGGTTCTTGTTTCTGCTGATGCCATCAATTTCTATTTTACATCTGGTTGGTTCTTTGCTGACTACTATTGTTTTAGTTTTTTGAGATGAGATTGTCATATTAAATTCTTTTGCTCTTATATTAAATCCGTGGACCAGTCTTTGCAAACTGTCTTTATTTTGGGCTATTAATGCATAACAGAGTATTTTGATTTCTTTGTTTTCCATTTTGTATCTTCGTATCTTCGTTTGTTAATGCTTTTCATGATATCATCCCCTTGTCTCGTTCCGCTGCCAATTTTTATAAGTTTTGTAAGTTGTCCATCTATTCTGACTTCCATTTTGTTCTTTTGATAGATGTTTTCGATAGTTTTTATAATATTTAGGGAAGCTACTCTATTATACATAATATGGATTACATATTTCAGTCTTACTCTGTCAAACGGTGTCTGTAGGTCAATCAGACACAGAAATGCTGATCTATTATACTCTAGTGATTTCTGAGCAATTTGCTCTATAGCGAATATTTCATCTATACATGATCTTCCACTAAAAAAAATCCGGTTGTTTATCTGCTAAACTTATATTCTGATTTATTAGCAGTTGTAAAATTTTAGTTGTAAGTTTTAGTGAAGTATTTAACAAGTTTATACCACTGTAGTTTTCGGTTTGTTTTTATCTTCTTTTTTGACTAGTAGAATTAGTTCGCTCGTTCTCCATTCTTCCGGTATTTTATTTTGTTTTATAATTTTATTACGTAATGTTGGTAATTGTTCTGTCATTGCTGCTCCAAAATATTTCAGTACTCGTTTGGTATCTCGTCTTTACCTTCTGCTTTTCTATTTTTCAGATTTTCAAGTATTTTCCGAACTTCCTGTACATTTATATTAGGTTCTTTATTTGTGGTAATATCTGTTGTTTCCGGTTTCAGCGTCGTTTGATCTTCTCCTGCATATAGCCTTTTTAGGTAGTCAATTCACGTATCCTTTCTTTGTGTTTTAGTTCTTTTAGTTTCTTTACCTCCATTCTTTGACCTCTTATGAAGCGCCCTATTTCCTTTTGTAGACCGTAAAAATATGTTTCATTTCTTTCGGAAAACGTTCCTAGTGATCATTTTTTATTTTTCTGATAAGTTCATGAGTTTCGTTTCTAATTATCTTGTAATTATGGTATGCCTCTTGTATTTTGGTTGACGTGTATTTCAGGTAAGCTTTTTTATTTTCTTTACATTTTTCCTTCACTTCTCTGTACAAAACCATGGAGTTCTTCGCCTTGGCAAAGATTTATTTTTATTTATATTTCTTTCACCAAGAACTTTTTTGGCCGAGGCTAAGATATTAGACCTCATTTTTGCCCAGCTTTCTTCGACTCCATCACTTTCTGTGATACATGTGTTTCTGCTTTTTTTTTGTTATTCTTGTTTGGAATAGGTATCTTGTGGAGTCATCCTAAAAGCTTTCGACTTTTATCTTTGTAGTGTATTCTGGTATTTTGTTCAATCAATCAATCAAACACATATATGTGTTTTCATTCGGATTTTACACAATACCAATTTCTGATCGCTTCCTATTTCTGCTGATATTAGTGCTCTTACATTCAAGATTTATGAGGTCAATAATTCTCTATTCGACCGAATATAGCCCATCATAGATCGTTGTCCTCTACTGTTTTCAAAAGTGTATTTGTATTGTTCTTTTTGAAGGAAAAATGTATTATTAATATGATATTTTCGTTATATCGCTGTTTTATTCCTGGAACTATATCATTGCCAACACAACAAATGATGAATATATAATGATATATAATGTCGGTTAATAATTTATGTTTAACTACATTAGCCAAATATTCATGAAATTCCTCCATGACTAAATTGATCGATATTTAAATATATTTCAAGTTCCAAAATGTAGCTGCTGTAAAATTTGAAAATCTACTACTAATACAATTATTGGCAACATCGCAGGAGTTAAGAAGTGTACGCAAAATGGTAAATACGGATCCCAAAAATGGTTTACCCTGCTGTTGAGTCCACTTACTCCTACATGTTGGTCGGAGTCTACATAAAGCGCTACTCAGATAATAATATACACGGTGTATATTCTACTGGAGTTAGTATAATACCGTTTTAGTACGGAGCCTACATTAACCGCTAGAAGTATATATATATATATATATATATATATATATATATATATATATATATATATGTATGTATAGGTATTTACCTTAATCAATAAACTAGTGAATTTAGACCTTAAGTTATACCAAAATTAAGTAAAAATACTAATAAATCTATAAAATGCATATGTAACCAAACTTACTGTTTTCAAATTTCAAGTTCTGGTCTCTTAAACACGGTCATGGTAATACTTCCCTAGATACGGGAGTTCAACCATTAATGTCCATGATTATTATAAGTCAAAAAGATCTGTTACGTTTACGTATATGGTTGCACAAAAATCACTATTATCTCTTGATGATTTAACGTAGTGCATTATTCAAGTTTGCAGAGATATTAAAAAAACATTTCAAAAAGTGCAACATGAATTTGAAAATTGACTTTATTATGACCTGAATGGTAATGAACATGATTAAATAACAGGTATTTATTGTTACACATTGGTCTTTTTACAATATTTTAAAATTTGTATAGTATTACTTAAAGAGTCTTTCTGCCATAACATATTATAATAGGGAGATACATAACTCTGTATGTGATATATTTGATATAATTTCATAGAAGCGTATTTCTTTCCATTCTCTGGTTAGTTATTACTGTTTAATATATCAATATTTTTTGTGTATCTAATATTATTTCTTTATTATTTCAGGAATTGTTCTGTTTTGGATGTCAAAACTGGGATCCGACATTAGATGATTTCTTAGCTACAAAAGATTTACGCAAATATGACAAGCTACTAGCAACTCTTACTAATAAAACCGGAGAACCCTATGATACCCTCTTAAAAGCATATTATCTGTATTTTGGATTTCAAATTTTGGTAAGACAAATTAATGGGTTTGAACATATAACGTCTAAAAATCATGACCATTCTGGATTTACAATTGTATGTGGGTCTTAATCTCTTCTCTGCAGTTGACTTTCCATGGCTTTCCTTCGAATAGCACGGCATTCCCGTTTCTTATGTCTTCATCGATGTTATCAAGAAACCTTGTTCTGGGTCTTCCTCTTATTCTCTTACCAATCGGTCTATCAAGAAGCGTTTTTTTAGCTAGGCCATTTGTTCTATCCGCACTACATGCCCTATCCACCTCAGACGTCCTACCTTAATATGTTTTACGATATCTGGTGCCTGGTATATTCTATAAAGCTCGAAGTTGTATCGTTTTCTCCATATTCCATTGTCATTCACCGTTACATAGATTAGCCTTAGTATGACTAAATTAAATGTTACGTGTACTCAGTACTTTTGTACAAAGTAGAAACGTGGACATTGAAGTGGAAACTCTATCAAAACTTTAGGCTTTTGAGCTATGTACTTGGAATATATAATGAGAAATCAATGCAGATACGAGCTATTCCAATGCATTTTGCAATGTAAAATTAAAGGAAAATGGGCTCCAGGATGAAGAAGAATATCCTGGCTTGTTAACCTGTGATGTCCTCTCGTAGGAGTCACTATCCGGGTAGCTTTTGGACAGTCAGAGACAGAGTTCAAAATAAAAATAAAACTTTATTGTCTACCTTAAATTAAATTGACAAAAATCGTATGTTCATATTTACAATTTGGTTTAGTCTTCTCAGTACCTGGCCTATTTATTCAAATTAAGTTTGACCTTGTCATATGAAAACGGAACAACTTGTGAACTCAACACGTCCACAAGCCGGGGTAGGGAAGAAGAGAACCTTCAGTCAACACCTGTCGATTCTCCCTCTATGAGGAAATGTTGCGGTTTATATAGCGGAGCTTGGTAATTAGTTTTGCCCTTTCTACTGTCGATACACTCCTACTTCATGGGTTGGTTCGCGCGCTGGTTTAACGGTGATGGCTTGGACTCATCGTTACAAACCTGAGAGCATGGTATAGAAAGACCTCAACACAGCTATGTCTTATAGCAACCAACAATGTCATTATAGCCAGAATAATCGCCAACGTTTGGAACGGAGAGGCAACCTAAGAAGAAAAATGACTAAATTCCGCAAGGACTAAACAAGCCTGTCTGAAATATGACAAAAATTAAAAATCTCTCTCCAATGGCGCTACAGCATTGGCCTCCTCCAACTATGTTGGTCCCGCGCCAGGTTCTCAACTCTACAAAATTCTCTACAACTCTACAAAATCACAATATTGCCATATAACAAATCACAATATTGACATGTTAATATCTAAAACTCATTATACAAATTGAAGATACATCTAAATTCCATACTACTTGATAAATAATACAATCAGTGGAACGGTCCACTGACTATTAGAGATAATTATAGTCCACCACGGCGTACAATAAACACACAGCAATATCAAAAGTTTTTCAACACACTCGGAAATAGGTTTCGTGAGAGAGGCGAGTACAATGTTAAACAAACTTACTGAACATATAGATTACCGAATCCTAAAGTTAGACAACTGTATATGACAATGAATGGTAATAATCCTAGATATATATGAACAGACAAACCTACATACTGGCCAACCGATCCAAACAGAACTCCAGACTTGGTCGAATTTTGTGACACTAAGGGAATTAAAACCGAATTTCAAACAGTACAATCTTTTCTCACAACAAAACAGTGTTTTTAAATAACCAAGAGTTACAACAAAAAGATCATTTATCAAATACCTGGATAGGCATCTCGACAGGTGGCAAACATGGACGAAGCATATATATTTATGAAAAGAAAACAACTGAGGCTTAAGCTTTGAGACTTTACTGGTTATCAGGTAAAAGATCACATTTATATCTACATAACAAAGTATTATTAGTTTATAAATCAGTCATAAAATCAATATCTAGTTATAGAATCCAGCTGTGGGGACCAGCGTCCAGGTATAATGTAAATATCTTGGAAAGTTTCAAGCAAAAGTCCTACGCGTCAATAAAAATGCACTTCCTTTGAGTTATTTTTATATATTTTTTTGGTAGATCCCAAATTTATAAATAATTTTTGTTAAAATTAAAATATAAATAGGAAATTGTTATCAGACAACTTCTTGAATGTTATTTATAACATAATTGCGCAATTTACTTACTGTAATATTAATACATATTGTAAAAAAATCAATTGGTTTGGCTGATTATACTCACTATTAAACTCAACAGTTTTCCAGGTTGAACTGCATCGATTATCACTGCGCCGAGCTTTCGACATCGTATCTGATGTCTTCTTCAGGGCATCCGAGGTCTCAGTCTCCCAAGCCCCCAGACATTACTACACTGATCACTAACCAATGCAATATTGCCACTAGAAACAGCGGACGGTTCAGTTATAAAGTCGATGGTGAAGTGGTTTGGATGGAGGTTAGCGTGGAGATTAGAGCGAATATTGACGCAACGATTGGAGCAAGAGATAAGGCAGCCGTTTATGATGGTAGGATTTTGATTGGCGGGGAGAGCGAACGATATTTGCTCTATGAGAGATTTCCATATCGAAGGCAATCGGATAATGTCATTTCTTTTATTGAGACAATTTGGCCATTTTTGAATTTCTATGGATTCTCGAATAATTCTTGGTTTATAGAAGCGGATGGAGACTATAGTTCTGAAGTTTTCAAAATCAATTTTGCAACCTGTAGAATTGCGAACAAAAATGGAATATTCATAAATCCTATTTTGGATTCTACGATTTGTTTGCTCTATATAGGATCGGGGGCAGTCCGCACAAGTAATTTCTCAAACTCCGTATTGGTTATTTGTAATGTTGTCTGTGATTGATCGGACAAGAGATGAAAGTTTTTGTTGGAAGATAAATATTGTATTTATTCCTCTTGATTTAAGAATTTTATCCATATTGCCAGTGATACCTTTGATATAAGGAATACAAGCTTTTGTATGGTAGGGTTAGAGTCTTTGGATTGAGACAATGGGAGATTGATGTCCGTGGATGTTTCTTTTGATTTGATTTTTACGATAACCGGTTTGGAGGAGGGCTTGTTTTAAACTAGAGAGCTCAGCGGGTCTACTTGCATCATCGAAAAAGCGTATTGATCTAGAGACAAGGGTATTAATGACTGAGTTAATTTGTGAAGGCGGATGATGATGAGAGTTGGCTTGCAAGTAACGATTGGTATTGGTGGGTTTTCGATAAACAGAGAGATAAATATCTTGGGATTGGTTTTTCTTTATAATAACGTAATCATACGCATGCCAGCTACCATCATTCACCTTCACAAATGAATTCACTTTTACAATATATAACTAGTCTATTGCATTTCTCTTCAATTCAAGCTCCACCACTTGTGGTAACTTAATCTAAAATAAATAGTAGTAAAATAAAAATAAAAATAAAAACGTATATTGTTTTAATAACATTTACGTGTTACACTTACGATATTTGAAAACTAAGATATTTAGTCTCTAAGTGTACCACATCTGCACCATCTACTGTCTGTACAGCATTCTCTTCGAGAATCTGATTGTTTCTGTCGTTGACTTCTTGGCACTTTTTTCTGTAGGTACTCATATTTGACCTCGTAGCTACTTTAGTATCTATTACTACCTAGTATCCATTGTAATAACATTACAGGCGTATATACGCTAGTAGCGACCTCCATCTTAAGTTTTTATTCTGACAATACATCTTTAGTTTATCCTTAAAAAAAACATCTTTAGCACTACATTTACGTAGAAAAAAGACGTTGAGTGGAAATAAAAGTAGACGATTGCATTTCTTTTTAATTCAAGCTCCACCAAATGCAATCAACTATTTAGCCATTATAGTAACAAAACATGCCTTGGATTTGCAGTTCATCTAATTCGCTATCGAAAGAGAAGTCTCCTGACTTCTCGTTGCTTTACATAGCGGTCGCTATTAGCGTACTTAGTCCTATTATACAGTGTGTAAAAGCCAAATGGAATAAATTCATTATTTAGGTTACTGTAAATATTTATAAAAAAATCCCGAAACACGTCAAATTTAAATTATAACTTGACATTCTTTAACGTGAAAATGCAACCCCTACCTTCAACCCCCTAAGAATGACAGGTTAATTTTTAAAATAGGAAGTACAGGCTTGTGATATATCGTTTAAAAGGTCTTTTCATTCTCCATTCAAAAATGTTATCCCTTTCAAGTTTATTAAGATTAATTAAGATAAAATAAATTAAAATCATGTCGTTACCGAAATTCGCTAAAATATACTCAAAACTTATTTCCGGTTTAGGTCTTGATAATGAGAAAGTGAACAAAAACCATAGCAATGTGGCAATTTTAGATGGTAACCATTAAAAAACTTTAAAGAATTTCCGTGACAACGTTATTTTAACACGCATTAGTAAATTGTTTTATTTAAGTTGTTTTTATTTAAGTATTTTAATTTAAGTAAAAAGTTCGTTCAATTCAATTCTGAAAAATGGTTAGATTAACGGAAATGCATAAAATAACAGTTTTACAAATGATTGGTTACGGATATAACATTTCATGAGAAATTTACTAATTTACCGCCTATATCCCAATAAACAATAAGTAAAATAGAGAAGCAGTTTCGCGAGTTTGGTCATGTAAGGCAGATAAAAAAAGCAGTTGCCAATGCACTAAGTGATGAACTCAAATTAGATGTGTTGCTTGAGTTTCAGGAAAATCCACATACATCGAGTAGACAGGCATCCACTACATTCAATGCTAGCCATATATCGATAGTAAACATATTAAAAGAAAATAAATTGCATCCCTATAAGATTATACCTACTCAGGAGCTCATGGAAGACGATTTTGATAGGAGAACTTTTTTTTGTGAGCAAATGATGGACATGTTGGATAACAATATTATCCAATTAGAAGACGTTATGTTTTCTGATGAGTGTACTTTTTTTACTTAACGATCATGCTAATAGCCAAAACTGCCGCTACTGGGCCACGGAAAATCCTTACTGGATGAGAGAAGAACACACTCAATACACTCAAAAGGTTAATGTTTGGGCAGGGATTGTAGGAAACAATATCATTGGTCCCTTTTTCATGGAGGGCAAGTTGAATGACAACAATTATTTGGCACTACTTCAAAATGATGTCATTCCAACGTTGGCAAATTTATATCCTGATCCAGGAAACTCTCAAGTTCCAGCGAATACGATATGGTTTCAGCAGGATGGAGCACCACCACATTACCAACTTAATGCCCGGCAGTACCTCGATACAATATTTCCCAATCGGTGGATAGGGAGGTGAGGATCGATTAAATGGCCAGCGCGATCAGCTTATATTATATTATTAGATTTCTTTTTATGGGGATATGTAAAGAGCCATGTGTACAAAACTAAACCTTTTATTTATATTTTATGTAAGTAAGTCGATGTATGAATTCCAGAAGAAGTAAATTATTGCTGAAAAATTTTGTTAACAGCATATAATAGCTAATTAATTTAAATATTTTATTTTACTATACTGTCTTTGAATTTCAGACTGAACTTAATTATACCCTACCGGATTGGGCACATGATGTTTATCCATATCCATTAAAGAATTTAACATTGGATTACTATGGTATGATCACAGGATCTACAACACTACGACAAATGTGTGGAGGTAAATTACCGCATTATTATTTTGATACATTTTTAAAGAATTTTATTTTTATTTTAAATTTTATATTTTATTTATTTTTATTTTTTTTTATTTTTTTTTATTTATTTTATTTTATATTAACAGAGAAATAATTATGCTTGGAGACTTCAATAGTTGAACGGGATATCAGAAAAACAGTAGAGTAGTAGGACCTTTTGAAGAAATGGCAACTAATGATAATGGCGGTAGACTGATACACTTATGTGAGAGCTATGAGTTAAAAATTAGCAATGGATTCTACAAACATAAGGACATACATAGATATACCTGGATTCAACAAACACGCAATCTAAAATCGGTCATCGGTTATATTATTAGTAAACAAAAATCTGTATTGCAGTGAAATGATGTAAGAGTTTTCCGAGCGAAAATGTTGTTCCCACTTAAGATAATATACGGAGACCAAAACCTAGAAGATAAGCAAGACTTGCAGACAGTGGACACTCCGAAGTACAACTTCAATAGTTTTATAAATGATAGTACTAAACAGCTATACCAACGACGACTGGATGAAAAACTACGAGAAATAGAGAGACAAGCATTTTCAGATATTTACGAGAATATTATTGCTAGTTTACACTAGGCCTCTAAGGAGACACTCGGGACACAGCAAAACAAAATTAGCAACAAAATATGGTGGAACGAAGAAATCGAAGATATGATAAAACAGAAAAAAGAACAGCATCTAAAATGGCTAAATACAAAAAATACAGAAGACCATCAAGCTTATAGGCAACCACGAAAAATGATAAAACAAGAAAAAAATAAAACATGGGATCAGAAATGTCAAGAAATCAATATATACATCGGAGGGAAGCAATCTACAGAGGTATGGAATTTTATACAATTAGTAAAAAATACAGGAAAAGACAAAGCACACATACATACCATAAAACCAAGACAATTGAAAGATCACTATGAAAGCTTGCTGACAGAGACAAGGCAAGAATACCTAGCGAACTCCCTAACACAGTCAGTACATATACAAGGAGAGGAAGCGAGAGTAGACATCGAAACAGTAAGAAAGGCTGTAATGACCCTAAAGAATGGTAAATCCGCTGGACCTGAGGGAATATATGCTGAAATGCTTAAGAATGGAACTCATAAACTATTTGAAAACTTAACTTATGTGATCAATCAGTGTCTAAATGGACACCCAGTACCAAAACAATGGAAAACGGCATACATGTCCTTAATACACAAAAAGGGGGACAAAAGGAATTGTAATAATTATAGAGGCATATCGGTAACCAGCACCCTGAGCAGACTGTATGGACGAATTTTAAGAAATATGACTGAGGAAGAATTTAAGCACAATGAAGAGGAAGAACAAGGCGGGTTCCATGCAGGAAGATCGTGCACCGATAACGTATTTTGTCTTAAACAAATAATAGAAAAAAGATCGGCTAAGAATCTAGATACTCATATTACTTTTGTAGACCTTCAAAAAGCATATGATAACATCCCCTTAACAAAATTGTGGACAACGTTGACAAGATCTAACATCAACCACACATTGATAAATGCTGTAAAAGAACTATATAGGGACTCAAAGTCACAGATAAAAATAGGAAAATATCTAACGGAAGAATTCCTGGTTACAAAAGGCTTGCGACAGGGATGCTGTATCTCACCAACCTTATTCAAGATATATGTTGCAGCAGCATTGAAAAGATGGGAAAGAAAGGTGCATAGGTTGGGTATAGAGCTTAGCAATGAATGTATATATACAGTCCAGTTTGCTGATGACCAGGTAGTATAGCGACTGACAAAGAAGACATGCAGTACATGCTTAGAAAACTGATAAAAGAATATAACGACTGGTGAATGAATGTCAATACAACAAAAACTTAATATCTTTGTATTGGAAACGAGTTAGATAACATAGACCTCGAAAACGGACAATATACTTCCTGCTGTCAGAGCTATGACTACTTGGGTGTTGCCTTTGACTGATATATACAGGAACTGATACACGGGAAATAAAAAAAAGAATCACACAAGCAAAGAAAGTCTTAGGATGTCTCAATGGTATACTGTGGAGTAGTGAGATAACGAAAGGAAGAAAATTTAATATATATGAGACCATCATTATAACTACTCTTCTTTATGGCTCTGAAACATGGAGAATTAGTAAAAATAACAAAAAGCGAATAGAAACAGTAGATATGGATGCAATGAGAAGATCTTTAGGTATTTCCAGATGAGACTGAATCAGAAATGATGTAATAAAACAACGGAAATAGAAGAAAATATAACTCAAGATATAGAGAAGAAACAATTAAGGTGGTATGGCCATGTTCAACGGATGCCAGCAACAAGACTTCCAAAAAAAGTATTAAAATGGCAACCGATAGGTCGACGGAAAAGAGAAAGACCCAGATTATAATGGCAACACGGCGTAAACAGGTCCATGAGCGAAAGAAATTTAACAACAAACCACTGCGAAGATAGGAAGAAATGGGGTTTAGGTATCGGACAACGTCGAAAGACGTTCTAAATCGATTTATATATATTTTAAAAATTAACCTTGGTTTAGCCGCTCCCTATTTGTTGCGATTTCTAATATTTAGTTTCAAGTTTACTTGGGACGTCCTGGCCGACTTCATGAGGATATCACCCACTCAAAGGTTTTCCTATAACTAGGCGCATTTTTTTACGGTTTCTTTTTTGTTGTCTTTCTTGAGTTTTTTACCTCTACGAAAAATCCCACCAATAATATATCAGTACTGAGCGACAGAGGCTGCGAGTCTATAGAGTAGCGGTGTTCTAAGATTAATTCTTTATAATCTATATGACTAGATGTGACACATACTTCGAAAATCGTTTTGGAATTTTAGGAAACGCTGTTATCAGGCCGGTATTAAATAAAGAAAATTTGACAGGTGAAAATAACGGTTATTTTTAAATTGATCAAAAGAACCTATTTTTAGCAAGGCAGAGCTACACCATATTTTGAGACCGTCTGAGAGATCGTTTAAACCAAAATTATTCTTTCAAGTAGATCTCTTAAATTTGCAAACATTTGTTTTCGAAAAATGTTTCTTTTGCAGCTCGTATTTTGGTACTTATCTTCATATTAATTGACCCCTGATGGATTCTTGACGTTCGGTATTCTTAAAATTACTCTCTAGATTATTTGCAATCACCTGAATGTTGTTTCTAATAAAATTTATTTTCAGTTTGTTAGAAGACAGCTGTTGTTTTATCCGTTTAAGCTTTAATTTTAATTTGGCCAACAACATACTGTTGTCAGATGGAACATCGGTACCAGGAAAAGTTTTTACAGATTTTACTAAATTCTGTAGTGCTCACTGATGTTGTTGATGTTGATGATGTTGATGATGTTGTCAATGTTAATTTCTTACAATACTACGAGGGGTATCCTCTGGAATTTCGATGTATATAATCTCTGTTTAAGCAGTTTAAAATAGGTATTTATTAAACATATATTATATTCTTTGCAAAAATCTGCGAAATAATCTGATCCTTCGTTTTTATCGCCCAGTCCAAAATTTCCAATAATTTACTTTGTCAGCCTCTCTGAGCATTAAGTTCACCCATCAAAAGGGTGAGATCTCTAGTCTTGAATTAGTCAGTAACAGTTTTACATCTGCGTAGAACTTTTCAAGTTCTTCTAGTTCACTTTCCGCTACCGTGCATATACTTGTATTAAATTTATGTGTCGCATTTAACTGATTCATTATAACTCGTTCAGATACCTAGCATACAGCTAACACGTTTGCGAACCTTCCTTGAGACTATGAATCTTACACCATTACGATGATAATTGCTGTCTTCTCCTGAATAAGATACTTCAGGATTATCCATGTTGCATTGGACATATCCGGGTCATCTCATTTCAGTAACACTGAGAATTGATTATAGCAGTCTTCTTAATTTACTATTAACACTTATTGCTATTTAAACAAAATTAAGGGAGATCTCCAGTAGGAAGGGATGAATCTGACGTTTATGACAATACCGCTAAAAAGTGCCCGCTAAAAGATCAAAGTTTTCATGTTTCAGCATTTCTTTCTAATATATGGTATTTTTAACAAGTTATGTGCCACGTAATATATTGCTCGTGCCATACCCAATTTTGTTGTTCGGACTGCGTGGCACATATGTTGTGCCTAAATCCAGTCTGGTATTTTCGATCGTGGCTTACACTGTGTGCCGCACTTGTGTAGTATTTATATGGAAGTTAAAAATATGTGGCCCGGAAAACTAAGTAGTGATTTTAGTCTGAAAAATAATACACATATATAGTATATTTTAGTCACTTGAAAAAATACAAATTAATGATATATTCCTTTCTGAAATATTTATTCAAAAAATATAAGTAAACTAAATATAAGGACTAACACAAAAGCAAACGAAAGACATACATAAGTTACAATACATTACCATTTGCATTATACCCACGCAAATACAATGAAGACAATTTGAACATAGCACTTCATGTTTTATACAGCTTTTACTCGGTGTGTAGTAAAGAAGCATTCAACACAATAATGTTTTTTACAGAGCATACATTGCAACACATCTCAATCTGGAATTAGTTTGTTCCAAATCATGATTTTCGGTGTTACCTTTGGGCTTATATTCATTTATATCGTCTGTTCCAATGCGTAACAATGAATAACACACTTTTTCTATGAAATCGGTTATGAACAATTTTTCTTGTGTAACTTCCTTGTAGACCAAGAAAGCTTTTACAACTGCAGACCACAATAACAATTCGATTTAAAGCTTTCTTTACCATTTTGTTTCTCTGCATAGACAGTGAGAATATGTTTTTATTTGGTCAGAAAGGTCAATGTAAGATTTAGCTCTGTTATAATTTATTATTGTTTCGGATTTTTATACTGCACTACCTCTTTGCAATACTTCTTTGGTATCATCTCTATGAAGGTTGCTGAACATAGCACATCCCTCTTGTCACGCCATTTCATGACCATAATTCCGGAATCACTGTCTCTGGCATATATTTCTTTTAGTTTTAATTTACTTTAGACCACCTTTTATGGATTATATTTTCGGTTGTTACGTAGGGTGCCCACCAGATGCGGCTTTCGTTCTAATAATTTGGTTACCAAGGAGACACTTGTATTATAATTATCCGTATATAGTTCACTACCAGAATCCAGAAGATCGTCCATTAGAGCAACCACTACATTCGAAGATGCTTGACAGCCATTTTCGGTATCCGCTCCAAAATAAACCAGAAGATTATAAAAGTACCCTCCTTCCGTACACAACTTTTACAGTTTTACTATACCGAACTTGTGCCTTTTATTTTTTATGTATTGCCTAAATCGTAGTCGACCACGAAATGGTACCTTGGTCTCGTCAATGCACACTTTTTTAAAGTTTTTTAAAATAATTATAAGGAGTTAAAATGCCACTTACTTAAAAATAACTCGAAATGGTTCCTACACATAAAACGGCTAATTTCATTTTGATGTAATAATGTTTTTTTCCAATATGATCGTATCAACTTACACAAGCCCATCCATTATAGGATACCAATAAACCTTTCCATTTCCAGATGATTAGTTGGAGTCCACTTTTTGATGCGCGATTTTTGTGTCAGTCCTTCTTCTGCCAAACACTGCATTTTTGTTAAGAAACCAATCTCTTTGGATATGATAACAACTAAAAAAACTAATAATTATATTATCTTCATAGATTTGAGGTCTAACTTCTGTATCTTTTCCATCAAAGTCAAAATTCTTAAAAGATGAGCCGTCAACAGGGTTTCACTGTAAGTTATTCAAGTCAATTGGGTCACTTTCAGCTCTGTACTGGGAGATTACGTATTTATTAATAACATTGTCTACATTTTGTAAATTTGAATGGATATTATCTGACCCTGTTTGTGAGCTAATCTGCAAATCTCTAACAGCATTAGAAACAGATAAACTATTTGATTTGGTTGAAGATGCTCCGGAATTCATTGTAACATTTACTTCTTGACATAATTTACGTTTTTTTGGGACAAAAACTGCACTAACATCGCTATTTTCATCTTTCGAGTCATTCGAAGCTTGCGAACTAGGAGAGTAATCATCATGAATAAACATCAACTATTATTACAGAATCACTTTCCTTATCCGACATTAGTTCATTCCACAACTGTAAAATGCGTTTCTGACCTTTTTCGTAATCTTCCATTATGCACACACCTTGTTTACATTCACTTTACTACACTGCTATTCTCAAAACTCTGTTGATCTAAGGAGCTAACAGCAGACTGGCTTGCACGAGTCGCTTGATTCTCGAGACGGTTAGTTTGTCCTTGAATACCAGGCAGTACCATGGCACAACGTATGTATTCAATGGCCCCATAGGAGCAATATAAATTCTATGTATGGGTCCCGTGTCAAAAACCTTAGGCCAGAAAAAAATCTCTCAAAATTCACAAAAAAAAAGATAGACGCAAAAATATTATTCAAATATATAATAAAATAGGTACCTTATCAAACAGAGACTATTAAAAAAAATTGGTCCCAGGGACCAACAATTTTCATTGTATGGTGGCGCTTAAGGTGTTAAAATAAGGGTGGGTCCTTTTCAAGTGAACATAGTGTATAAAAGATTTATGGATAACTTGTGAAATATTAAAAGTATTTTCAAATGTACTAACATAAATAATAATTTTCATATTCATATTATCATATATATCAAATATAGAAAGTATTGGATATCGTTAAATCAAATAAAAATTTCTTTTTTGAATGGAATATTAAAATTTTCATCCTGTATAAAGGGATATTGAATTAACTTGATTATTTTAATTATTAGGATATCTATTAAAACATATTCTTGATGATACCCAGTCCAAAATCGATGGCAAACTTCCAGCTAAAAAAATGTTTATATGGTCTGGTCATGAAAATAATGTCGCTTGTCTTTTACGTAATATGAATCTTTTGAAAGAAGATATGGTTCCTAATTACGGAAGTTTTGTTGCATTAGAGCTTCATAATATAAATTCCACTTATGGATTTAAGGTTAGTAGAAAAATAAACATTTATATAAATAAATATGACAATATAAATAAGTATGTAATCTATTTGAACTGGTTTGTTTTGATATTTTAGATAATATTAATGTTCTATTAGGGAAAATTCAAATTATATAATATTTTTAGCAAAAGAGAACATTATACGCGACTGAAATAAAATCCCTGAGTTTTTCTGCAGTAAATGTGAATCAAAAACAAATAATGTATTCTTCTCACGAGTATAACACACTTAATGTACCGATTACTATACATAACGTAAGAATTCTCAAACATCAATTAAAAATTCTGTTCCTGGTCCAGACAGTATTATATTAACTTTTCTATTACACCAATCAGAAAATGGAATATCTCTGTTTTATTAAAATTATATAATTTTATTTGGACAAATCCGGTTTTATCATCAATTTGATTAGAGAGTATTATAATTTTTTTTAGAACCTAACAAAAGTAGTGTCATACCGCCCTAAATCTCTTACAACGTGATGTGCAAAGTTAAAAATTATAAACGAAAAACTATTGTAGTATACGAGATACAGGAAAAATTTGCAAATAGGCATATTATAAAGGCATATGACCCGGTCTTGAGATTTAATCTAGTATTAAAAATACACTGTGCTAAAAAAGAAAATACAATACATTTACAAATACTTTTCTCGCAATAATTAAAGATATACTGGAGTACTGCTCTTCATTATGATGGAGAAAACACTGCATGCTGGAGATTTAGTTTTATTCAAAAGATAGAAATCTAAAAGATATACATATTAACTTACAGAAAATTATTAATATGCTAGAAATGGTTTAAATTAGTAAAAATATATTAAAAACCTTCCAATCAAAATCAATATGTTAAACACAAAGTGAGTTCAAAAAACACTTAAAAAGGTGAAAAATACTTGAACAGCCTAAGATACATAGTAAAAGAATGAAAAATTAGAGAACTTAACATATTATTAAAAAAAAGTTGTACAGTAGGTGGTACTGAAAACTAGCGCGAAGCTTCATACTATGTTTCTGTAGTTTTTAAATTTATGTTTAAAATTAGATATAATAATTTTATTACTTATTTATTAGTTTTATAGATTTTAATAAAATTGAAAAAGTTTACATGTTGTATAACGGTCACCCCTCGTCACGTAAATGGACTCATCCAATTGGTTACTGTGACTTCTTCTTCCTCAAGTGCCATCTCCGCGCCCGAGGTTGAAAATCATCGTACTTATTCGGACTTTTGAGACAATTGCCCTGAAAAGTTTGTTTAATGGACATCCGTACCAGACTCCCAGATTGCGCAGCCATGACATTCTACACCTCCTATGCATCTCTTACCTTGGATCTTTCCCTGCATAATCAGTTGGAGCAAGGTTTATTTCTTTCCACGTGTAATATGTCCGATATATTCCAGCTTTCTTGTTTTAATTGTATTTAAAATTTCTATTTCTTTATTAATCCTTCTCAGAACCTCTATGTTTGGACGTGTTCTGTACACGATATTTTCAGAATTCTTCTATACACCCACAGCTCGAATTATTTCAGTTTTTTCATTGATGTTGCATTCAAGATCGGAGATTTCATTTCATAAAAAAAAGTCGAAAAAACATAGCACCTCGCCAACCTAACTCTTAGTTCCAATTTTAAATCCCTTGTAAATAGCATTCTTGTCATTTTGTTGAAATTTGCTTTAGCCTTTTCTATTCTGATTTTGATCTCCTGAATGTAATCATTTGTGCAGTTAATCATTGTTTTCAGATATGAGTATTTGTCCACTTGTTCGACGTTTGTTCCGTTTATTAGGTTTTTAAGGTTTAAGATTTTCGTTATTTCTTTGAATTTTCGATATTCTCATAAATTTCGTCTTGACGTTCATTGTTACACCATACTCTTTTCCATAATCTGCTATTCTGGTCACCAGTCTTTGAAGATCTTCAATATTTGCGGCTTAGATCAATATGTTATCCACATATTTAATGTTATTAATGGGAACTTCATTCACCATTATTTCAGCTGTTTCACCCTCAAACCTCAAGAGCTTTTTCCAGGATCTCTTCAAATTAGGCATTAATAAGAATTGGCGACGATACGCATCCCTGTATCACTCCACGTCTAATTTCAATTTCTTCTGATAGCTGTTCGTTAACAGGTACTTTTGCTCGCTGTTTATAGTATAAATTTGATATGATCCTGCGGACGTTGTAGTCAATCTTTCTTGATTTCAGGACATTTATTAGTTGTTTATATCGTATCCCTTTATCGAATGCTTTATTATCGTTAATAAAACATACTTATCTATCTTGATTGACTTCATTGTATATCATTAACGTCTATGTCATCAAATACTAATTAACAAAATAGTAGAATGCAGTGAAGAACACGGATTATCACTTAACATAAGCAAAACAAAAATAATGCTAATATCTAAATCACCACAAAACTGACATAACCGTGCATGATCAAAGAATCGAACGTGTAAGAAGATATAATTACCTGGGAACTGTTATCAACGAAAATAATGATTGCTCTGAAAAAATCAGAACCGGAATAGAGAAAGCTAGAGCCACATTTACTAAATTGAAAAAGGTGTTCTGCGGAAGAGATCTAAGTCTAAAACTTAAAATTCGCCTTTTGAGATGTTACGTTATGTCAGTTCTCCTCTACGGGATGAAAACATGGACATTGAAAAAGATCGATACCAAAAAGATAGAAGCATTTGAGTTGTGGATGTATCGTAGAATACTAAGAATACCCTGGACAGAGAAAGTAACAAATGTGGAGGTTTTGCGGAGAGTGCGGAAAGAGAAAGAGCTAATACTTACTGTTAAAAAACGCAAACTATAATATTTGGGACATGTTATGAGGGGATGGAGGGAATGGAGGCCCAGAAATTATAAAAGAAGCCGAGGACGACCACCGACTAGATGGACCGATGACATTAAACGTGTAGCGGGAAACTGGCTACAAGCGGCCCAGTGTAGAGAACACTGGAAAGAATTGAGGGAGGCCTATGTCCAGCAGTGGACGCGATTGGCTGATTGATGATGATGATGATGAGGGGATATAAATACCAGTTGCTGCAATTGATTATACAGGGAAAGATAATGGGAAAGAGATTTATAGGAAGAAGAAGGCAGTCATGGTTGAAAAACTTGAGAGAATGGTAAAATTGCACCAATTACCAACTGCTTAGATCTGCAGCATCAAAAATACGCATAGCTTTGATGATATCCAAACTTCGGAACGAAGACGACACTTGAAGAAGAAGAAACGTCTATGTCCATTTTGTGATCTATTCTGTTATGGACGACTTTTAATAGTAACTTTGACACATGAGACATCAGGCTAATAGTGCGGTAATCGCAGCATTATCCAGCCTTTTTACTTTTTGGGGAGACAAATAAAAATCTACGATAAGCACTCTTTGGGTATTAATAATAATTACTGTGACTACTATTTCGTAAAAAGCCATATTTAATATGCGCTGATTTAGAAACCTAATCATCCAACATCAAGTGGTAGAATTAATAGAAAAGTACATATATCTTGGTCATGAAATCAGAATAGGCAAGGACAACCAGACCTGTGAATTTCAACGACGAATAACGGTTGACCAATGCGTTCTTCCCAATATGACATACGAGCATAAACTCTCACGCTCTCAAAAACAACAGCACTAAAAAGGCGAGTGGTGCAAAGGCGCATGGAAAGATCAATTCACGGCGTGACAAAAGAAGACAAAATAAGAAATCAAGACTTAAAGAGAAGAACAGGTATCAGTGATGTTGTCGAACGTATAGCAAAGCTGAAATGGAATTGTGCAGGTCACATAGCGAGACCGAAAGACAAAAGATGGACCAGAAAACTAATTGACTGGCGCCCACGAGAAGGCAAACGCAGCAGAGGACGACCACCAACACGCTAGATGGACGAGATTAGACGAATATTCAAGAAATGGCAACAAGAAGCACAGAACCGTGAAAAATGGCGAAAAATGGGAGAGACCTATATCCAGCAGTGGAAAGAAGAGGTTGCATGATGATGATGATGATTTAGAAAACTATTCCAAAGTATACACTTTATACAATTTATTAATTGGTAATTGTAATAGTCCGATTTCATACTGGCAACATAAACTAAACCTTAACTAATGTTCACTTTAAATTAAAGTACACTTAGTGTACTGTGCCACACACAGTTTCATATTACCTTTTTTTATTATTAAAAGTAAGCTTAGGTATTTAAATTAGTAGGTTGGTAATTGTGTTTCTATCAATTTTGCTTAATTTTTGTCGAAATAACCTTATTTTTCTTGTTGTATGTTAATTTGTCTGTAAAATTGTTAATTGTTATTAATTATGTCTGTATTAAAAATAAGTAGTTCTTTAAATTTGACAAAAAGGATACCTTTTCTTTATTGAGGAAGTCCACAAATATAAATCAATTCAGTATAGCAATCAAGACAAAATATTAACAAAAACTGTTAAAAAAGTTAAAAGTTTAAACTGAAGATAATGATCGATAAGGACAAAGAAGAGACAGAAATTCAAATCATACTACTACTATCGGTTTACAGCGTTCTCTGACGCCTTTCGACTACTAACCGCCATTCTTCTCTATTTAGCCATAGGCCTGGAGGGATTTCTCTTTCCTCTAGTTCTTTTTCAATTCCCTCCCTCCAGCTTCTTCTCGGCTTTTTTCTTTTCCTTCTCCCTTGTGGTGTCCACGTTAAAATCTGTTTCGGAATCCTGTCATCTGGTATTCTCTGTACATGGCCGTACCATATTAACTGTTTTATTTTTTTGTCATCAACTATTGTATGCTTGACTCCCATCATTTCTCGTATTCTCTCATTTGGTATCCGATCTGTTTTTGATTTGCCTGCTGCTCCAGAAGTCCATTTCTGTTGTTAGTAACAGTTTCTCTGTTCTTTATTTCATTGACCAAACTTCACTGCGATATGTGATTACACTTTTAAGTATGGTTTTATATATG